ACTTTGCAATATCATTCATAAAAAAATTTACACTAGAATGAATTCTAAAATTCACGTAGAAAAAATTCTAGTATTTGACATTAAGGTCAAAAATAATTCTCAGAATTTTATATTTTTTTCATCAAGTAGAATTTTCTATAGACCTTTTTACAAATTCAGCATCAAAAAATAGATCTGTAATAAAAAATTATAAATTTTTTACATGAATTCGTCGATTTAAAAAAAATCCCTGAAACATAACTTTGTAACTCCATTTAGGAAAAACATTTTACACTAAAAGTAGTTCTAGAATAATTTTCAGAATTTCATATTTTTTAAGTAGAAATTTCTATGGAGATTTTTATATTTTCAGCTTCAAAAAATTTGATTCATCCCAATTTTTTTAATACAATATTACAATTTTTTTATATAATACAAATTTGTGTAATATAATCAGTTTTTTGAACTGTAGGAATATAAAAATATTTGTCTCTGGGTTCATTTTGTAAAAACCTACTAATTTGTTCATTTATTATTTTAAACGAATTTCATTGAATTCTTCAGAATCTTTCATATAATTGGGTACAATTTAATGAAAAATATTATATAATAAAAATTTGTGTAATATAATCAGTTTTTTTAAATGTAAGAATATGAATATAATATTTGTTTCTGCCATTATTTTGTAAAAATTCCTAATTTGTTAATTTATACTTTCAAACAAATTTCATTAAATTCTTCAGAATCTTTGGGTACGATTCTTTAAATCATTGGGTACGATTTAATCAAAAATATCAAAAATATTTAAAATATATAATAAAATAAAATCATATTCGAATCAAACCTTCGTATGTAGTTACTTAAATAATGCATTTTTATTATATTTAACTAGGATTCCACAAAATCAATGATAAATATGGATCATCATCATCATCATTACAATAATAGACTTTCTTATATATTTATAATCAATTATTAATCAATTGCAGACTATTCAACAATTGTACATCATGAATAGTGATACATTTTATTTAAAAAAAATGTATGCATTTGTTATATTTTTTCAACACAAATATATATATATTATTCTGTTTATATATATTTATATATAGAGTTGTTAGTAATTGTGACAAGTAAAGCAATAATCTTATTTGTAAGTTCAAATACGACCATTAAAATTTTAGTTTTATGTACACAATATTACATTTTGATTTTTTGTGACAGAAATATTCAGATCTGGTAAAGGAAATATATATATATATATATATATATATATATATATACTTTTAGATTCAGTATTTATCCACAAAAGCTACAACAATATAGCAGGTGCTTCAAAAAACCCTAAATAATCTTATTTTTAGAACACTGATGGCAAATATCTTACAAATTTCACCTAAAATTGACAAATTTACAAACAGATTGGTCAATTGGTGATGGTAATGGTGCAGATCTAAAAATTTCATCTAATGTAAAAGAATTTCTTCTACTGAAGGTAAAGGACGTCCATCCTAACCAAGTTCCAAGTAAGTATATTGTTTTTTTTATTCTAATTCGAAAACAAAAATGTCTACGACATTCGATCGAGTTAAAATCTTTGAATACTATCACATTCTACGAATGAAGTAAATAAATATTGTTTTCTCGAAAAAAATCGACATTTACAGTAGTTGACATAAATTCTTACACTAAAAACATTCGTACTGATTTGGAAAAAAAATTTGAGTTAAAAAAATCCATTTTTTCCCCAAAATCCACATACATTCGCTAGCTACCAATTAAAAAAAATCCTCACAATAAATTTGCTTTGTACATTATTTTTTTAATATGAATATCGATAATATAAATACTATTTATCATTTTTTTTGTTTTGTTTTACAAACATTATCTTATGAAAAAATAAGACTCTTCTTTCATACGTTATTTTATTTAATAAACAACGTGTTAATATATTATTTAATTTTAATATATTAGATTCTTAACGTTTTTTTTTTAATGTAAATCCATCTATTTAATTTAATTTATTTATACATTAATGCAAGTGTTGTGTGTTGTTTTAAAAAAAATTATTTCTAGAGCAAAGCTTAGAAGTAGATATTATTTTGTTGTTTAATGATTAATAAATATAATAATAATTAATAATACTTATACAAACACCTTTGATCAATTTTTCGGTAAGCCGGATAAAGGATATAAAAATAAGGTAAAAAAAATTTACTCTTTGATATATATATATATATATATATATATATATATATATATATTTATATATATTATAAATTTTACAAAATCAAAATTTAGTTCGTTCCAAATTAAAAAAATGCAAACTTGTCCATTGTTTGCGATCGCAACAGAAGAATGCAATTTATGAAAATAAAAATATCAAAAAATTTAATAAATAAACCCTTTCCAATCGCGAATTGCGAATTTAATACGAATTTTGTCGCCGGAGCGGTGGCATCCGAGTAGAAAGGGTTAAAAATAAAATATTCATAAAATAAAAAATACACAATTTTGATCCGTTTACATATCTTCAGGATAGTTTAAATCTCCATAAAAAATGAAATTTAACGAACAAAAAAATCCGGAAAGAAAGCTTGAAATAATCATTTTTTGATGGAAGAAAATTCAAATAAAAAAGTAGAAAAACTGAAAGATTTAAGTCTGAAATTAACACGTTTCAATTTCCACCAAAAACAAAACAAAAGTATTACAGAAAATAATAACAAACTTACACCTGGAGTGGCTGTAACCTTTTTGAATGAAATGTTGATTGTTAATATTCCTGGTCAGCCTCCAAATGTCCTTTGCCAATCTTGATATATCCTTGGTCGACCTTGAAATGACCTTGGTTAACCTTGAAATGTCCTTGGTCAACCTTCAAATGACCTTGGTCGACCTTCAAATGACCTTGGACGATCTTCAAATGACCTTGGTCAACCTGTGGACACTTCTGGTCAACCTTTGAACATTCTTCGTTTTGATTTCTCGTTGATGAAAATCCTGGACTATCTTATAACCAATAATAACACCAAAGATTTTAATTCAGTGAATTTATGATCCCAAAAGAAATTTTGAAAAAATCATCAATAATAACTCCGTGATTTGAAATTTAGTGAGATTGTGATCCAACAAATTCATGATGCAAAATAGCATTTGCAAAAATTTCAAGAATTTTTGAATTTATCCTAGATAATCAACAAAAACTATGATGATTAAAAATGACAAAATCTATATAATCATAAATCCTTATTCATTTATCCTTTACGAAAGCCAATTGTTTCCAGCTTACATAAAAATTAATCAGTGGCTTACAGGCGTCATAATATTATCATTCATACTCACTACCATCACTTTACTTCAAATATATATGTATATATAATATATTAAGAACAAAAATGCACCAAACAAAAATTAATCACAAAAGGATTAAAAGTCAAAGATAATTTAAGGAAATAAATTATCATCTTGTTGAACCGAATTCATAATTTTCTTAAATTATATTTCCAAATAAAGTTGGAATCGAAATGATAAAATCAAGCAATAATTTTAATATTTAGTGTATTTTTATAAAGGTTGTCAAGAATATTATTCGCATATAAAAAATATTTAAGGTGTTGATAGAATTGGAGCTTTCTTGATCACAAAAAATCTGGGTAAACTTACTGAATTATAAGAGTTGTAAAATGGAAAATTAAATGTGTATACAGATTTCTATGATAATATTCGATAAATTTTGCTCATCAGTAATATATTTGTAAAAACTGTACTAGGTCCAAGTGTTAAATGGTTCTTTCCTGATCAGCAGAATAAATAAATTCAGACCAGATAAATTTTGAAATACAAAAAGAAATTAAATTTGAAGACTTCTATAAAGTTGACCGATTGATAAAAAATCTTGATCAGTAATATTTTTGTAATGCAAGATGAGATTCATACATTCCAAAAATTATCATAGGTCCCAGATGTATTTGTTTAGTCTCTAATTTAGCTTTAAATATTTTTTTGCAAGTTATCCTGATTCAAGGAAGAAAACCCGAAGACAATGTTTGAATGAAAAAAAAAACAACTCCCAATTCAAAATTGTAGTCGTGTGTAACACGTTGACTGCCAAGACAATATTAAAGAGTCTTGTCCGAAAATGACTGTCTACAATCTGTTTATTATATCGTTACGTCGTAGGTGGCGCCAAAGATATGACGCTATCTACAAGTTATTTGGTTGGCAGTCAACGTGTCGAAAAATAAATAAAAATAAACGAGTAGGCAGTCAAAACGAGATATGAACATAACTTTAACCATTTGCTTTTGGGTTATTTAACAGGTATCAGTACTGAATTTAACACATGAAGCATATTTAAAAATAATGCTGTTATAACATTCATCAAGATCTCATTCCATTTTAAACGCCTATAAAATATAAAATAACCAGGTCAAAAAATACATAAATACATTGGGTTTCTCTCATATATTTTGAACTATAATAGATAAAAATTAATCCACAATCTTACTTGATAATAAAATTACGACTTTCCATAAAATATATAAAAATTTTATGTATGAGAAAATTGCCAAATATAAAATTTCAAGGTGAGTTAAAGTAGCCTTTTACATTAATGATTCCGAACTTTTATTTTCAATTTTTTCAACAAAAATTGATGAAAACGCACTTAACAATAGCTCTATGCTTCACGCTATTTTTTTTTTAGATAATTATGAAAAAAAATAACGAAAAAAAATAAACGAGTAGGCAGTCAAAACGAGATAACTCTTAGTAGGCGCTCTAGAAAGTACTGCATTATAACTTATTTGGTTGGCAGCCAACGTGTCAAAAAAAACTTCTTTTCAAACATCTTATACATAAGCACGAATAATATCCTCAACTATCCCAAACCAAATAGCTTTCGTCATAAACTTAAAAAAAAAGTCATCCACTCTCATCCGCACTTCAAAAAGCTGCCAGACACTTCCTCACTCATCATCCCCAATCTTAACCTAATTTTAATATTTATATCTATATATATATAGCTCTAATTAAATTAAATTAAATTAAAAATTAAAAAATAAAAATAAAAACACAATAATCGCCATCCCCTCTCAGCAACCACCAGTCCTCCTCCTCCATAGATTTTATTGAATAACGCAGCACTTGCATTTGGGTTTTTTCTTCAGAACCACCAGCTCGGCCTGTTGGGGCGTCGACTGTTGGGGCACGGTGCCCCTCTGGACCGCCACTGGTGAACTTGCACCCCCTTTTGCGGGACTCGTCGCCGCTGTGCCGTTTTTGCCGGTTGGGGATGAGGCGGTTGCAGGGACTGCACTGGACAGCGTCTGGTAATAGATAATTTGAGGAAATAGAAGAAAGATTTAGAAATTTGGGGGCTTAGAAAAATAATGGTGATAGATGATTGATAGATGATAGATGATAGATGATGATAGATGAATGTTGGTTTGTTGGGTTTAAGAATGTTTGGTGTAAAAGTTATGTAAAGATGTGAATGATAGTAGGTGAAGATGAGTATGAAGTAACATAAAGAGCTTCCAGAGTTCAACTAAAATATGATAATTCATATGCAAAAACTTGTAATACATTACATACATTTATATACTTGTTTAATTATTTTTAAATTGGAGAAATCACTTTTTACCTCAACAACCACCTAGTTCTTTCCAGAACTAGTTGCGTTCCATAATCAGACTTATTTAAAAAAAAAAATTACGAAATTTGTGTAAAAAATTGAAAGAAATCACTTTTTACCTCAACAACCACCTAGTTCTTTTCACAACTAGTTGCGTTCCATTATCAGGCTAATTTAAAAAAATAAATTGCCAAAATTTGGCAAAAAGAATTAAAAAATTATTACCAAGAGTGAATAACCTAATTTATTCACCTACAAGTCTGATTCACAAATACATATGATATTATGATATGTAAATTTCTATAATATGATCCGTTCATTAAAAAGACATTTGCTTCATTTGAGTTTTTTTTTAACATATATGTTTTACATATTTTTTGTTAGACGTTAGACGTAGCATTTTGTAATAATTACTATTCATCAAGCTTTAAAAAAAAGTCTTTTGAAACCTTCAGTAATATTCTGGACAATTTTTCTTAATTTCTAAAATGCAAAATCATTCACCATCTTTATATATAACTACCTGTGATATACAACTTCATTAAAATAAAATTTTTAAAAATATATATATAATGGATCTCTTATTAAATGTTTATTTGCTCTATTTTTTCTTAACAACTATTTGATATGTGAGAGATGATAAAGTGGAAAATCGATATAAATATTTTATGATCACGATATGTATCAGATAAATAAATAACTAAGATGAGAAATGTTAAAATTATCAAAATATTTAAATAAAAAATATGTTGTGAAAACGATTTCGACTAATCTAAAATAGAGTACTCTCTTTTCTAAAATGAGAAGTACCTTGGTTTTTGTATATTTTGTTTCTCAATCAGTATCATTTTCTTTAATATTTTCGTGGCCGGAATTATTTCTGTGCCTGTCGACAAAATTATTGCAATGTTGGACGAATGTAAATATATTTGTAAAGCTTATATTATAAATATACCAATAAAGATAATAAACTTCAAAAGTATAAAAAATGATACCAGAAATAAAAAAATGATCAAACAAATTTATATTTTCAAATGTATCCAAAAAAATTTAAAAATGAATTAAATATTGTTTGGAATGCATAACATAATACATAAATATACATGTATGTATTTGTATACATGTTACATAGTACATAAATATGTATAGTTTTGTTACATATTGTTTTAAACTAAAATAAAGGGTGAAGAATTAATTGTATTCAATGAAATTTTTGAATCTTCTCGCCAAGTTCAAATTCAAAAATGAACTCAACATAACTATAACCATTTGATTTGGGTTCTTTAACTGCATTGTTAGGTATCAGTAATAAATTTAACACATGAACACACTTATATTTTTAAAAGAATGCTGTTATAACATTCATCAAGAAATCAATCCATTTTAAAAGCCTATAAAATATAAATATAAAATATAAAATAACCAGGTAAAAAGTGTCAGAAAATATTTATGTAAAATAGGTTTCTCTCATATCTCTTGAACTATAATTTTCACATTAATAATTTCGAACTTTTATTTTAATTTTTTCCAAAATTAACAAAAATTATGAAAACGTACTTGACATAAGCTAAGTTTATGCTTTATGCTTTACGCTAATTTTTTTTATGAAGAAAATTTAACCCAATTTTATAAAAAATCTTAAAAGCGGAAAAACATATATCCAAAAATATAACATATAATCGAAAGATTAAGTTCTTAGTCGGAATTTCTGATTTACAAAAAAATGATTCATTTAAAAAAATGGATTTTTATTGTATCCTTAAATAGTAGTTGTTATTTTAAAATCATATTACATTTTTAGCATACCCCGTCCCGTCCCGGACTATTATAAACAAAAACACGGTCACCGTTTTGACTTGAAAAAAAAAAGATATCTTATAATATTCTTTTCTAAAAAAATGAATCGCAAAATGTGTTGGTAAATGCATAACTCAATAACGCCTGGACCAATTGGGCCAATTCTTTTCTTAAAATGTTTGTTGAACGATTTTCTAACTAAAACGTAGAATCAATTTGAGCTTTATTGCTATTATATAAAGTTCATATTAAATTACGCAATTAATATATAGTACGAGATTATAAAAATTATGGGCAACATTATTGAAGCAATTATTTTGAGTGAAAAAATCCAAGATGATATTGATATTGTACCTTTACCGCGGGTACTATATATTAATTCCTTCTGAATTCGTTATACTGTTTAAAAGACTGCAATTTCCAACACGTATATCTTATGCTATAAATTACAAAGGCAGAATATAAATTTTTGTGTGATAAATTTGGAAAATCGATGTTTTAGTCGTGAATAAACATAAAATCAATTATTTATACACCTACATCTACACAGGTATGACTAAAAATATTGGATAAACCTTGGTATTAAAAGAAATTAAGCTATTGGAAATAAATTTGTTCAAGAAATTGTACTGTATATTTCTAATATACTATTTCATTGAACATATTTCAATATTTGTTTGTTCGATGGTCTTACTGGGTTCTGAGTCTCATAATTTTATTTACAGCAGTTGTACATTGAAGATCACATTTTGATTGCAAGTTGTACATTGAAGATGTATATACATTTCGGTAAAGACTGTAGTGTAAAAAACATAATAATTTTTAACTAATTAGTAAGTATCAGTATAGGTTATTAAAAAATTGAAAATTTTGAACTGTAGACATAGGTACAGGACAAAGTCTGTCGTGCCATCTAGTTATATATAAAACAGCTGTACCCGTTCACGCTTTGCCGTGATTTAATTTAAATTAAAAAGTTGAACAAAGATGTATGTATTTGTTACATTTAGTTTAACGTTGATACTATCTGTTCAACAATTTACCTATTCAACAATTTGTCTATGAATTTACCTATAAACTTGTTAATCAATCTACCATTCTACCGACTTACGAATTTACCTGTCATTTATAAACCATTTTACCTGTCAACCAATTTACCTGCTTTCCAATTTATCTGTCATCCCGTTGTAAATGTCTACCAATTATCTGTTCAATAATTTATCTGTTGAACAATTTACCTGTTCAACAATTTGTCTACTAATCAACCTGTTTATCAATCTACCATTTTACCGGCCTACAAATATACCTGTCATCATGTTCTACATGTCTACCAATTAACCTGTCAACCTGTTTATTTGTCTACATATTCGTCTATCTACCAGTTCTCCTCTCTACCATTTTACATATCCTCCAATTTACCTGCCCACCAATTTACCTTTATAAATTCTCTAATTTACCTAATTTATTTACGCATTATAAAAAAATTAAAGCTCGAATTGATTCTACGTTTTAGTTAGAAAACGTTTGTATGTGAAAAAGAAAAGACCTGTTATTTAGGGTTTTCCCGGCAATTATTCGATATTTTCTCGCCGTAAGAACCATCCTTGGACTTTAACGAACATTTAAAATAAAAGAGAATTGGCCAAATCGGTACAGGCGTTGTTGAGTTTTGCGCTTACCAACACATTTTGCAATTCATTTTTATATATAGGATTATCGCTTACAAAATCTACCAAAAAATGTGTTAGAAACAATTCATATAAAAAATAAAACATTTTAAAAGAAATCCGGTCTGAAAAATTAACAAGAACTTCAAATTTTAAGCAAAAAATGTTATGATAAAAATTTATGTGCACCCACATTATCAATATACTCGTATGCTTTAGAATTCAAATTTGTATATAACATTTCCACCATAACCATTGACAATTACAATCTATCAAATCTTTTCCTACCGTGGCATTGTCCTTCTTGATCAATCCGCCTCCGTTGGTGGCGGGAGATCCGTCCGTGACGGTGGCCGCGTTGCCGTTGGCAACGGCACCACCGGGCGAAGAAGAATTGTTCGACAGCGCCGAAGAGTTCAGCAGGGTGCTCGGCGGTTCGCCCGCCACCGGAGTGATCGGCTGACCGCCTTTGATTAGGGACACTATGGCGTCGGCTTCGCGGGAGAGCTCGCCGTCTGGTCGGAAGGGGTTGTCCCACCCTGACTCGTTACTAGAAGAAAAAAGAAGACAATTAATTGATTGCACATTGAAGAGTACTTGTTTTATATTGGTCCCAGAGACAGGACCGAATTTAAATTTATGCCGCCTTTGGACACTAACAAAAATGGCGTTCTATAATTTATCATTGCCTTGCATAAATCAACTTCCATATTAGAGAATTAAGTAGTGGTAAAATCTACAATATGACTTACACTCAGGGCCGGTCCTGGGGTCCTTAGCGCCCGCATGCAACTTTTTTTCTAGCGCCCCCCCCCCTATTAATTTTCACCGTTTTAACAGTTTATCATTAAAATTATATAAATATTTATATTTTTTTTAAATTAATTTTTAATTATTCTGATAGTACACAAAAAATTAAATATAATCCAGAAGGGTATAAAATATATTGATTTTAAATTTATTTATTATTATCGATATCAATAAATAAAACAATCCCTGCAATAATTTCACATTTTAGTAATATTTAATATATAGTGAATTGATTAAGGATGTGAGTTCGACTACCATAGCAAAAGAATTAATATTTTTGTTAGATAAAAATCTTTATATCAAAATAATAAATACTATTTCTGAAATGCATTTCTTAAATTCTATAACTTTAATTTAACAAAAATATTAAGTGAAATAAATAAATTAATTTTTAATTATTCTGGATTTAGTGCACAAAAAATTAGATATAATCTAAAAGCGTATAAAATATATTGATTTTAAATTTATTTAGAAAATCGAGGCAATTCGGGTGTTGATTATAATCAATAATTATTTGTAACGTATGTGCAATATTAATATTTAAAAAAACTAATATTTAATTTTCAAACATAACGCTCGTATTTCATGTTGGATTTTTTAAATTTTAATTTAATTTAATTTTTCATCATTTACAATATCCAAAATTGCGTCGAAAAACTTCTCCTTATTGATATCGTAAGAGCCGTCATATTCAGAGTATCAGCTTATTGTTTTAAAGTTAAATTTTTAACGTCTTTTAGAAGTATTATTCAAAAATCAGTAAAAAAAAATACAAAGAAATTACACATTTCTTGAACAATATTGAAAAAAAAAACTTATTATATTTGATATGTATTATTTCTGTCTGTATAGTTAACAATTATTAAATTTCAAGTATGGGCACCACTAAAACAAGCCTTAAGATTTTCGTTCCAAAGTAAATTTTGCTTCTATTTTTCATATTTGTTCCACGCATTTCTTCAACATTCAAAGTTCAACAGATGCGAAACATTTGCAACAAAAGCAAAAGTTACAATTCAATTTCTCGGAATAAACAAGTCATTTCCTAAGCACAGACTCGCCATTTTTTATGATCAGTTTATATTTTTTAACAAGTTCCGATTCAACTAAATCAGCTCGCAATTTTTTGTCAATAATTCCCAACAACTAATTTGATCTTTCGCAGGTTTGCGCTTATGGGATTGAACACTAGATAATTTCTTTTTCGATTCCACAGTAACTTCAAACAAAGAAAAAATTGAATAAGTAAAGTAAGCAATAAACAGAGCTGTTATTTACTAATTTGCAGAATTATTAATTATTTAATTGTTTCTACTGATATCACATTGCAAAATAAATATGCTTTTTGTGTCTCCGTATCTCTAGTTAAGTTAAATTATTTATTATAATTTATTAAGTATTCTAGATTTTAAATAAATAATTCTAGATTTTATATAAAACAATATAAATATTATATTATAAATTTAATTTCCGAAACTCGTTTTGGCGCCCCCTAAGGCTTGCGCCCGCATTTTTTGCATGCATTGCATGCAAGGCAGGACCGGCCCTGCTTACACTAACACTGGTATTACAGAACAGAAGCTACTTTTGGGTTTATGGATACAATAAATAATTCACTTTTATATTTAGTTATCACCTCTTGTCATTTCCCCAGGCTTCAGACCTTGGCACTGCTACCACATAATAAACCAGTCCGCCATGACTGGCGGCGGCACTGTTAGGCCTTGGAGTAATACTCATTTTCGGAAAATTTTCATTTTTACACTATTTTTTGTTTATAATAATTTATATATTGCTATCTTTTAAAAAAAAGTTCCGTATCACTTGTTATTGACATAGAAACATTTTGGTCACTTTCATTAATCCTAATGGCTGCACAAATATTAGTAACTTTATTTTACTCATATTGTTGAATCATATTTTATTATTCCAAATTGATAAAAAACAATTCTCTGAAAGTTTTAGCTCTTAATATTAACCTTTAGATAGTGCGCAATTTAATCAAAGTTTTGTATGAAAATAGCATGAAAAAATTTTCAAAAATTTTAATAATGTTTTAGATATAATTTAGCGAACAAATGATGAGTTTTGTTCAAAATTTGTCGCTAAGTTAAACCTAATTTTTTTTTTCAATTTTCAAAATTTTTCCTATTCTATTTCTGTACGAAGTTTGATAGAATTGCGCACTATTTAAAGTTAATATTAAGAGCTAAAACTTTCAGACAATTGTTTTTTTATCAATTTGGAACCATTTGGGCCCTTGGGAGCAAGAAAATTCGAAAATGTCCACATTAAGGACCACCCTAATATAATATATATATATATATATATATATATATATATATATATATATATATATATTTATATATATATATATGTGTGTGTGTGTGTGTGTGTGTGTGTGTATTTAAGTAAAGGCACATTATGATATTTCTATGGTCAACTATGATGACAATGCACAACGGTTAATTTCCGGCCAACCTAGCAGGAAACGATTAGACACCAATAATTGATCAAATTCGTCAAATTTTGATGAAGGCAGAAAGTATAGAATTTATAAACTAGGAGTAAGTGGAATGTTGCCTTAAGACAAGTTGCATGGAATTCTCGATGTGTGTAATAATTGACCTAATCAATAAAAAATGAGATTTAGATATTTAGGTAAAATGTTTCGAAAATTAAGGTTTTACTTTCACTTTTTTGAACAATGCGATTTCCAAATATTTTTCCAAAAACCTTAAATATGTCTTTGTATTAATCATAGTGCATAAACACGCATCTGTATGTCCTAAAAGCGCAGACCATTATTAGTAACTTCACAGAATTTTTATAATTGGACCGCACTTTTTGTAGAAATATATTATTTTAGGATATTAGTTTAGCTTTAGACCATAAACTCTATCGACAAGTTGAACTTCATTAAAATAACAAAAAAAAAATCTAAACATTTAATTACCAAGAAAATGTCCAGGTCGATCTTTACCAAAAACTAATCCGCACGATTCCCAAATGTAACCCAAATTTACTTATATAAAATTCTTGTAATTTATACATTTATATAAGAACAAAAGAAATAACATAGTTGATCAATAAATGTAAAATACTTGTATATCATCAAATTGATTATAATGTAGTAAAACCCCGTTAAAACGATTTTCCAGGCATTAGACAAAAAACACATCTTGTGTTGGTTTTTCTATCAAGCGCGATATAAATTTTATGTTTCATAAAGCAGCGACCTTGCACAATGGCGTATTACGCGGGAAATCGTATTAAGCATATCTGAGTTCCTACTGTACATTTGTTTATCGAATGAAAATCTCGTTTTATAACTTTATGCATTATTTTAGGCGCATAAAATGAAGTCCCCTCACGAGTTTATGATCGTGCGGGAAGTGTTCTGTAAAAATAATATTTAATGACCTACAGAATCGTATCAGAAAACATTAAAACTTTTAATAATATGTCATAAAATTTTGTAATATCGAATATTTATGGACGTTGGATTTATGAATCTATATTATTTTATTTATTTCTTAATAATAAAATCATTTCGTAAAATCTTGGACAGTGCTATTTTAAGTTTTCATACAGTAGACAGTGTTATCGAACTTGTTTTAAATTATTTTATTATAATAACTTAAGGTAAATAATTTTTATAATTATTTGAACCATATTGATACTAAAATTTTCAATTTAATAATAATAATTTTTTTCATGACACTTATCAATTCGATGAACCTATCATTTCCAAATAATCGGATTACATTAATAAATTTTAATACATAACCTAGATTTTTAAATTTTTTATATATTACCATTTATTTTTACTCATAATTATGTGTGTGTTACATTTCGAGAGACCTGACAGAAATTTTCGAAAACGATGCTCATTAGGATATTTCACTCGTTGATGCTTCAACTACAGGTCATCTTTCTTCATGTAACAAAACATAAATTTTGTTTGATACATCTAGTTTTCTTTATATATTATTATTATTTATGATGATATTTCATTTGAAATTTGGCTCTGTTTCTGATGGGGGGCTATTAAAGCAAAAATACAGCTTCAATTGGCCATGTCCTCGCTTTTCAATTAGCGAACGATAAACAACTAAAATTGTTTTTTGCGAGCAAACATTCAACATCATTCTTGTTTTGCCAACAAATATTACAACTTAATTTGAGAAGAAATATATACAGAGATCATCTCTGTTGATATATTAAATTATATATAAAACCGAATATTATGTAAAACTTTAATTTTTTTGCTAAATATTGCAAAATCATTTAAAAAGCAATATGCATAAGTATTGATTATGGATTAAGTCTTGGCAGCAAACGCTTTAAAGTTAAATAAACATTAAATTAGTAAAAGTTTTCGAAATAAACAGTTGTAAATGGTAAGATAAATAGCAGAATCTCAATTTCCGTGATTTAAGACGTATTAGAAATTTTATGAAACTTGCCTTAGGTAAAATAAAACACCTAGACACTATTTCTAATTATAGATTCTAATATATCCAAGTCTGAGAATAACAGTCGATATTCAGAGTTGTTTGTAAATGTTTAAAAAAAAAATCCAAAAGCACAGTTTATTTTCTTTTTCATAATTTTAAGATTCTGTTGTTGTTTTTTAGTGTTGTCCACAAATTTAGAGACTGAAAAAAATGTATCTATTCTTATAATTATTATATATTCTTAAGGCTTAATATAGAGCATCATAGTCGATATTATTCAGAGTTTTTTTAAAATCCAAAAGCACAGTTTAATTCTTTTTCATAATTTAAGGATTTTGTTATCTTGTTTTTAGTTTTGTCCAGAAATTTAGAGACACAAAAAAATATTAACTATTCTTATAATTATTATATATTCTTAAGTCTCAATATTGAGAATCCGAATCGATATTATTCAGAGTTGTTTGTAAATGTTTTAAAAAAATATCCAAAAAGTAGTTTATTTTGTTTTCATAATTCAAGGCTTTTGTTGTCTTGTTTTTAGTGTTGCCCAAAAATTGTAGAGATCTCAAAAGCAAACTTTATCATTTATTCTTATAGGTTTTTATATATCTTTTCATTGACTTCAAAACGGTTTTGACAAATCTCTTTCTTAATTTTATATAACCAAGTGTTAAAGAATTTCAAAGCAAAATTCTATCTAGAGGTTAATTTTTTTTCTCATTTATAAGAGTTTTTACTATATTTATTATTAAATCCTAATATTTCCAACTCCTAATTATAAAAACTATAGCCATAAAATTCAGAGCTGTAAATGTTTTAAAAAACGACAAAGTGAAATTTTTATTTTAGTATTTTACAATTTTGTGGTGTTGTTTTCAGTCGTGGCAAAATTTTTAGAGATCCAATAGAAAAGCCAACTTAATTTTGTATTTTTCAGGAATTCTTATATCTTGTTTTCATTGAAATAAACGATTTTGACTATTACCTATCTCAAGAATCTAATATATCAAAGTCTAATAATACAAGTTATTTTAGTATTCTACCTAAATTCTAGTATATCCAAATCCTAATAATGAGAATTAAAGACGATATGACTTAATTTCTTAATGTTTTAAAATAAATCCAGAAGCTTGTACTTTATTTTTCATTATTTTAGAATTTAGTAGATAGTCTTTGTTTCTAGTCGAGGCAAAATTTTTTATCGATTCCTAATGGTAACTTTTTTTAAAAAAAATATATCATATATAAATTGAAAAAAAAATAAATTGAAAATCATATAGAATGTAATGAGAGACTTGATTATGATTACAAAATCTCCAGGAAAAGTTCGATGAATATACGAAAGCTCCTTTAATTTTAGTAGATGACCAACTGTCAAAAAAATCCAAAAGCAAACTTTTTTTTTCAATTACAGTAGTTTTTACTATTTATATCTAGATAAAGTGCTAATATTGAGAAATATAGGCGATGTGGTTCAGAGTTGTAAATGTTTTCAAAAAAAAAAAAAAAATCTACAAGGGAATAGTACCTCGTTTTATCATTATTTTAGAAGATGTTATCTTGATTTTTGTCGTGGCAATTTTTTTAGAGATTCTAATCCAAACTATGCCTTATTTTTTTACAATATCATATCAATTGTATCCATATTTTAGTCCAATTCAAATTATTACAAGAATTTACTATCTTAATATTGAGAATTGCAGTCGGTTGTGTCTATAAATGCTCCAGAGTCGACGCGTCTATTACTCTCAAGAACTATTTTAGGACAACTCTTAGAACGTTAAATGCCTTCGACAGCATAAATTTTTTGACTTAAATATATATTTGATGTAGAGTCCTCTAATGTCGTCTTTCCAACTGCTAAACGGATGTATTTTAAGATTTCTCCAGAATTATATTACTTTCTTTTCTCTCTCGCCGACGAAAGATTTGTGGTTAGTTTTAATCCTGTTGGGAGATAATTGACTGCTAACTTGGATAATTTGTTTCTGATCCTTGGAACGATCAGAAATGATCGAAAGTTTTTATATGAAACTGTGGGAAAAAGTTATGAAATATAAAAATATAAATCCATTGGATGAAAATATAAACCATTCATTAATTACAAAATTTTATGATAAATAAAAATGACGGACAAGGAGAGGTTGAATGCGATTCCAATAAACCATTTGATAGTGAATTCAATTCATGACTCAAGGTCTAGGCTCAGAATTAATTTTCGTGTCAGCAATAAACACTGAGGTCTGGGTATACAGAATAGGTATACCAACAGAAGTCCGGTGTCA